TTAATAGCAGACGTAGGGAAATGAAACTTTAACATTTTGAATAATAAGAAGAAATCTCAAAAGATTCATGCTCAAACGAAAAGCAGTCATTCTTGGAATTTTGCCAATTTTCAAAACGATCAACGGTTCCTTCTGGTGAGGCAGAATCCGTCTTCAAGTGTTCTTTGTAAAAATTCCTTCTCCGATTTGATGTGTAGTGTTTGGAAAGGATAAAATTAATAGTTGATTTATCCCCCTTTATTTCTTTTCCCAGTGGTAATTTCTCAGGAGCCATTGAAGAAAGGGAAAAAGTTTTTCTTAGAAATGCTTTTAGCTTTTCCAACGTCACTGCAGTAACTGGTCTCGCCTTTAACTCACCTTTAACATTTTTGTCTTTTTTGTAAAAAATAAAGCGCTTTGCCTTATTGAACTCAAAGTGCCATGAACTGCAATATCTATTGCCTCTTCCACAATGTAACCCCGTTTTTCGTCGATGTAAAGACGAAGTGCCTCTATTTTTGTAGCCGTTTCGTCAACAGTCAATCCTTTACTTTGCAATGCAATCTGTGCAATTTTATTATGTTTGTACATTGTCCTTAAAGTTGCGTCACCAGGTGGGTGTCACCCCAAAAAAGGTGACACCCGGTGCAGATCGTCGCCCCCTCCTCGCTACGCCACTGCGGCATAAGTAAGTTATATCAATTTTATTCTTCTAAAAGAGCCTATTCGAATGTGTAATAAAAAGTAGGGCACTCCATTTAAGAAAAATCTACTTTGATATGTGGGTCCAAATTAGGACACCCTGTATAATTGTGAGTATTTTAAAAATATGCCTCCAAATACCATATATACATATATAATAATCTATAAATAGTTTTCTTTGATAACTTTTTGTTTAGGAGCAATACTCTGTCTTGCATGGTTGGGAGTATATGAGTATATGGTAAGCTTTCCGCCTAAAATAAACTGATGATCTAATTGTTAACGACTGAGTATACTAATACTTGCTGTTTCACAAATATGCATAAAAAACTTGAAGATGTGCTTCATAAATAAACCAAGATACGTTTTTGGAAAAAGGCGGAATAGGAATTATTTGCTGTACTTAATAAAATTTTGCTATTAGGCGAATCAATGGAGGTTTTCAATTTGATCATTTTATTTTACTAATTGGAGTTTATCCTGCAAATATATTCCTGAAGCAATAATTAAATCAGTTTGACAGTGTCATACTCAACTTAATTGTCCTCTATAAACGTTCGCGATATGGCATTTTAAAATGAGAACTGAAAAATATACCATATCTTCCAGCAAACAAGCTGTCACTGTCTATAAGAAACAAGTGCCTTCACTCAAAAAACAAAGGACAATTATTGTTTTACAGGCTATGAAAACTTGTGCAGGTTCCACAGAAGATCGTATTTATTGTGTATTTGAAACTAAAAAATAAGATCACAGTAGTTGAAGACGTAATTATTGATGATGCACTTAAGGTTAATTTTCTTAAAAACCGTAGCCTTAATATTTATTATATGAAGCCTCATAACTATTACAGATAATGAAATTATTTAAAAAGTTGTATTTAGAAAAATTTAGAACTGAAATAAATTATACATATTTTTTAAAAATAAGTCGGTGTTTTATTTTGCATAGCCCATCCCGTGATATAACGCTGTTAATTATATTATTTATTTATTTATTATTTATATTATATGCTTGAGATCGCTTTGGAGTCGATGAACTCAGCGTTTTTGCGGAATGTTCAAACTTGTAGGTGTTTATTCAAACCTATTTACCCAGAAAACGAGTCCATTCAAATCACATATGGAATGGATTTTTGAAAATCATATGATACGGGGCCATTCAAGTATTAAATGAGTACTAAAGGAAGGCAGAGTTGTGTTTGCTTTGTTTATTTTTGATGACATGGTGGATAGGGGGTATAAACCCTAGGAATACTTCTTTGTTTAACTTTTCAGATTTTCTACAAATTTAGTCGATTTTGATTGAACATATAGTAAAGACTAGATAATTCAGAGAGCGATAATCCGGATATTTTGATGATCCGGACGGAATCCAAGCTTAAGTTATGTTCGGATCGCATAATTCGATAATCTGGATTTGCGATCTTTACAACATGGTTATCGCTTCTAATTTCTCTGAACGCATTATTTCCAAGTTCCAATATTTTGGTTATTTGACTGCTGGGCGTGTCTTGGTGTGTTGGGCAAAATGGTAAAACGTAAACATATTACATAGCCTAAGAAGAAAAAGGCTGAAATATTTGATACCAGTACGGCGTCGGAACGTCTACTATTTCCGACAAGAAAAAGTGATGATCATACTTGCTCATCAATATTTTAGATTTATTAGAATTTGACATTCTGTGCCAGGCTCTCGTAAAACTTTACGGTAAGCAGAATATCCGGAGGTAGAAGGAGAATTGTTTTGCTGGTTTACCAAACAACGATGCAAACATAATATTCCCATTTCATTTGAAATAGTGGGGGCAAAAGCTCAACAACTCTACCAAAATATTTATAGAAAAATAATTCTGTTGCAAGCAAAGGCTGGCTTCTTAATTAAAAAAAAAAATGGCCTGAGGCATCCTAAAATCTGCGGAGAGAAATTGTCAAATGATGAATCTGCTGTAGTTCACTATATTGCCAAACTGACGCAAATAATAGAAGCTAGTATCTATTGGAAACTTTGTTTTTACCGAGAGTGGCGTTGTTACAACCAAAAAAATGGTATCAGATTAACAAAGCTAAATTATCAAAAAGGTCTAATAGCACATATTCTCTCATTAATCGAAGACGGAGATGATATCGGCAAATGCATTAAGGGTATTAACCTTATGAATGCAAGTTGTCTACTCCATAAGCCCCGCCGCACATGCCCACACTCGCACTCGTTCACTACACTGCGCCAATGTCGCTTTGACATTGGTGGGCACGTGTGTGTCCGCAATTGCTTTCACGAGTCGTACATCAGTCAGTGTATCTACCATTCGTAGACGACGAACGGAGCAAGATGGACGCGATTGATATAAGTTCAGAATCCGACAGTGATAACGACTTTTTAAATAGATTATTGTTAATAAGGAAATCATCGGAAAAAAAATATGGAAGAGCTCTTACCTGTCCAAAAGGAAAACACATGGAGAATTCAAATTAACTTCTGAGTTTTCAGACGAAAATTTTAAAAATTATTTTAGAATGACTAGGAACGATTTTAAGGAAGTACATGCGATGATTGCTACAGATTTAGAAGATCAAGGATATGGTGGCCATGATCGAATTAGTACTGAAGAAACCAACACAGTTTAGGGAAGTGTTGGCAGAAACTTTTATTAGGCAAAACATCTTGACACAAATTGATGGTCAGATTCATACAAATGAAATGAATCAATGGGTTGAAAATGTCATAGAGGAAGGCGAGCTTTAGTATGAGTGTACAGGCGCTGAAGAAGTTGATATCCAGCCGGAAAAAATCAAGCACGAAGATGCAATAAAATATTTATCCTGTTTAGCTCTGGTTTTCGTTGATCCGGATTATCGAGTATCTGCTTGTCTAAACTCGAAATCTAACGCATCTTCAGGAATTCCTCAAATATGGATGTGATTACGGGCTTAGCTATCAATGCTCCTGATAGAAATGCATATAACTGAATAGTGCGCAGAATGACTCCTCTTGATCGGAAACGGGCTGATTTGATACTGACTGTTCATCATTTTGGGTCTTATTTGGATCAACGTGACGTTCCAGTTAATGAACATTTAGAAATATGTAATTAGAGTCTTCCGGAAATGTATTAACCGGGTATGGAGTTCAATGTAAATTGATGGTTATCACGTTATAACAAAGTATGTTGGGTCGGGCGAGCCAGATCTTCATGATTGAAAGCTAATACTGCTTCAAACTGTGAAATGTACCAAAAGGTTTACGTAAGCATGGAAGGGGGGGTTGGTAAGAGGTTGGCAGACACGGGAGAGAAAGGGGGATTGATAATTGTAAAAAATCTGCCTACGTAACACTTGAACGTCCCCTGGGAAACTTTAACATATTTTTGAACCCCTTTTAGGGAAGGCCTTTTTTTTCGACTCGACTGGTAACAAAAAGTCAAGAAGTGCCTTGGGCTGGCTGGTATAAATGATGTAGCTTCGGACCACTGAATTCGAATAGATTGGAAGGAAACCTATATAGCTTTACATCGCACTGTTTTTCGCCAAAATTTTGTAGTTTTGGAGGATATTCCAGTAGCCAATCGTACTGGGTGTTACAAACGTACAGCAGAGCAAAAATACTGTCTAGGTTGCTATATGAATCGGTCAGTTGTTTTTGATAAACAGGAGTTAAATGAGGCAAAGAAATGAAAGTAAATATTTATGAACGGAAGAATTCTGCGCAATTCGTGATCATGGATGGTGAAAAATATGAAAATCAAATAGCAATGCTGTCGGAATACCTCATATTAGCAATAGTGGGGTACCTTGCTTGAATTTTACTATGATTTTCTATTTAGTTGTTGTGATCAGAGCAAATTGTTGGCTAAAAGCAAATACCTGTTGAGCATAATATGAAAATTCATGTACGTATATGGATTGCCACTATATTTATCCATCAAAAAAATTTGGAAGTTACTTTGATATTCATAGTTTTGTGGGGCATTATGCAATTCCTCAATAAAATCTCATAGCACTAAAATGAGAATGTAACTTTACGATTTATACTTTTCCTAAGAACTCTTAGATTCAAAATTAAAGTAGACTCAAAGTTAAACTTTCGGTCGGATTTTTTCAGTATCCATCAAAAATTTTGGTTTGTCTCCATTATTTTGCATTGTTCACTGTATACAATTCTGTTTAACACACGTTAGGTGATTGGTACTTAGCACTCAAAGAAACAATGGGTGGACTGAAATAAATCGAAATTGTCTCACAACTGTCAAGGTAAGGCAATTTAGAGTAAGTTTAGAGTTAAATGTCCTAGGCCGATGTCTATAATGTATTAACACTTACCGATAAAAATGGGTCGCTCAGGGAGATTTGCGTGGGAAATTTTTCCAAAGGGCAACTTTGTGAAAAAGGGGGCCTCATTCCCAAATAAATTAAGATTTAGTAAAAGCACTCGTCGTTTGGCCAACTGTAACCAAAGCTCTGGATAAATTTATGGTTCTTGAAAGGTTTTAATGTACTGTTTTTATAATCGAGAGATCATATTGCCGTCATTGCAGGGCGAATAAACAAAAATTTTAAGGATGAGGCACTTTGCTTGAACTAATCTGAAAAAGTGTCAAATGTGAATTCGTACAATTTCTGCCTTTGAGTGAAGTTAAAATACATTTTACTTTATACAAAGGAGGATTTACACTGCTACATTAGAAACAGATAAGAATTATATAAAAATAATTGTACAAGAAACAACTAATTTGAAATTGTGTCAAATGTGAGTATGTTAATTTTGATTGTCAACCTAGGTAAGAGCGCGTGACCATGACTTGTATGCGTATCGAGATTAAGCTCTATCTTTGATTTCGGACTTGTTACACTTGATTCCTGTTGCAGAATGAGAAGATATCTGGGGGTAATATAAATAGGTGTGAGCCACAACAAATAATAGGCCAGTGATGCGCAAACCTAGTAGATACAATTTTGCAAATATAGAGTACCAAGTCTCAATTGAGACGTGTATTCTTCAAGTCTCCGAAATTTAGAAAAATAATGTGACGCAGAATTTTTAAATAGCTTATTTATGTTATTCCGCAAAAGGCATTGGGTTATCAGATGGTCTAAGGTCGATTAGGTCAAGTCGTTACTTTTAATAGAAAATAAATTATTTCTATGACTTTTTAATACAATTTTTGTTGGCTGGATTGCATATGCTTGCTCTCTATGACCATGACCAACCGAATACGATGTTGTTTCATGCTTATTAGGAATCATCAGTATTGGATAGAGATAGCGGATATAGACTACTGAAAAACTTAGTGATACATAAAGAGGTGGTAACTGCTACATACACATAGTTCGACAAAGCTTGATACATCTGTGGCCCCTACGCCAAAAAATACAGAAAGACCCCTACACCTCTGGCCAACACTAAATGACAGTTTCGCTCCATGAATGGATCTGTTTGAATACTCAAGGCTATCAGCAAAGTATCACAATTATAGAAACTCACTAACTTCACTGTATTTTCAAAGTAGAACGGGTTGTAGCTTTTATACAGGCTTTTAGATCAAACATGCAAACCAATTTTTCTTTAAAAGGAGTAGTCTAACTGAAATTTCTCAAGCTAGATGATTCATGTACAAAATATACTATTCAAAAACTAAATAATGTTCCATAGAGGTCCATGGCTTTGCAAATCATTTTATTTTTCCTCCCGTAGGTGTCCAAATTTCCAGATTCTTACGCCAGTGGTGTAGTCTGAGGTATGGGAATTTTTGTATGTATTGGCTATGGTACTAGTACTACAAGCGTTTCATTTTAAGACAATATCTTAATATAGTATAAAATTATAACCTCAACACCATGTATCTCGTTAAGGCCGAGTTTTATAACCAATGTTTATATGGACTTTTTGTGCTATTTTCTGATTTAATTTATGTCATGGAAACATTGTCGCTGTTTTCTGAATCACCCTATACTACAATTATTGTTCTGAAGCAGATAACCATTTTCTGCCTTCGAGAAAGAATATACAACAGGTTACCTGCTGTGGTATGTCAACAAATACTTGTACGACATTAGCCTAACAGTTAATGTTAAGACTGACTGTATTAAGGATAAAGCAAACGGGATACGAAACGATAGAATGAAACGTAGATCAAGCCACGAATACTTAGAATATGAAGATAATGTCACTGCATCTAAAAAGTGGATAAGGCGTGTTTTGACATTCATCCTCTTCTATTAACATATTACGCCATAATAGCGAGATTATTTGTTCGACTTTTTACCATTCAATCATATCCTAATCATATAGTTCGGTCAGGATAGTTGCTTTAAAGCCGAAAAATTTGTGTTATGGTAGTAATCATATCCACTTCAATGACTTAGCATCAAGGGATCCCATACACTTAGTCTGAAGGTTTTTTGACCTTCTACTGTCATCACCAGCATAAAAGCAAAGCAAGTAGTGTCCTGAAATTTGCTTTGCTCCGAGGCCCCTGCAATTTTACCTCGCTACTGTAGTGGATTTAGTGGTTTTCTAATTCCGCCCCTGTCAGGTTGAACCAGGACGGTGCGTAGAACATTAAGTGAGCGTTTATCCGCGAAGTTAGAACTAAAGGTACAAAGCGCTGCGGCCTCAAACGAGTCAAGAGGTATAGACGGCCATTAGCCTTGGATAGATAAATACAGAATTTTATCTAAGTCCTGCTAAAATAGATAGATAAATAAAGAATTTTAAGTTAAGACCTGCTGAAATAAAAAAATTGCAGCTCTTAAGTAAAAGTGATGACAACAGATTGAGCTTATTATTGTATGAACGATAGTTGTGCGGTTGCCTAGATACGGATTTTTTTTTTTGGAGTTAAATCATACTATTCAGCCCACGGGCTCTTTTATGCCCTAGGGCGCTTGTCATATTATACTCATTAAAACATTTTATATGTACCAAGCGTTATGTTCCTTGGTGTACTAAAAACCCATAGGGCCATAACCGCCTGCTTAACGTCCTAGATACATATATACTATTACTTTGTCATTAATAATGTTACTTCTTATGTCACTGGGCGAGGAAATTTTATAATCGCGAAAAATTTTGAAAATGAGATATATATATATATATATATATATATTGTTCTTTTTTTGATGTTATATGATACTTACATCACGAAAAACGATGTTCTGTCCGTCTGTCCGCTAACCCTTGGCCCGTCTATAACTTGAGAAGTACCGCTCGGATTTTGATGCTACTAAGCAAAGGAGCAAAAAGTAGTTTTTGAAAATCGGTCCAGCCTCGACCAAAACAAAAATCGTTTAAGCTTCGTTGTTTGACGTTTCAGTTCAGGTCATTTTTAGAAAAAAATTGTAGGAGTTGAAATGCGGGGCAACCTACTTGAGTCGACTTTTTTAAGTGATGATTGAAAAAAAACACATTGAGCAATATCATATCTCGCTGAAACGACAAATATGTAGCCAACTGTTAAGATTACGTTCAAAATTACGGGGATGTAAAGCTTCAGCGTAGTAGCGAAACAGACTGCACGGGCTTTGTATCCACGATCACCAATTTTGCAAACGACGATCGATGAATTAAAAACATGGTGAATGTACAATACAAATGTGTCTTAAGATTATACATTCACCATTTTTGCAAAAATGTATTCTAAAGCGAGTGACAAATGGGTCCATTGATCAGCGCATTCCACCTGAAGATAGACAACCATTTAGTGTATTTCGAAGTCCAAAAAATTATATTAGATTAATCGAGAGCCTAGTTAGCAATTGTCTCATAGATGGCGTTGTAGCCAAGCCTATGGGCACATTTCTGCATATAGTTGGCGCCAACTATGAGACATTGACCTTTTATACATTTCTAATTATTGAATCATACCTGAGACAGATTCTCATAGGTGACGCCATATCTCATTTACCTTTTGGTTTGGTATCTTCAGGTAGAATATGTTCGTTATTTTATGACAAAAATCTCCTGCTTTTCGTGACACGAACCTATTTTGATTGGACTAAAACAAGAATTTATCTTGGGTAATTAAATCATCCGGAACTAAATCTTCACCCAAATACCACGCAATTATCCAAGGACGTGACATCGTTACAATAGTACACAACACAAATATGCATTCTTCTGTGATATAATTTAGACAAGCTGTCAAGTAATTAGCTAATTAGTATAACTATAAAAATATACCAAACAAAACAGAGGTCATTTTGATAGCTTAGATTTATAAAACGGCAAACTATAAAATTCTGTAGAGAGTCAGTAAGACTTCCGCAAGAAATGTCTAGCAAACCAGTTTCAGCTCCCGTGTCCACTTTGGGCATAAAACCACCAGCGTCTAGATTCAAGAGTTCAGGGTTAACGGTAGATGTTTGGCTGGAAGAGAAGCAAGATACCGATGGTGCGGAAGGCTTGTGGCGGGTCCATGATGGGATCTACGACTTCTCTGACTTTGTTAGTGAGCATCCAGGGGGATCTGAATGGCTTACACTCACCAAGGTATTGATAAAGACAGTTAGTTACCTAAATATGAGTTTTATCATGTTTTATTCATTTTGCTTATACATTGGTTAGTGGTAAGCAAACGCTTGTGAACTTGGTCCCATTAAAAATATTATTGAACTCGTATGGAAGAAGCTGATAAGGAACTCCTTACAAAATATACTTTCTCCAAAGTCATCATTTAAATGAGACCTATGGGTTTGTAGTTTTTTTTTGCAAGTATAAAAATCCTCTTGAAGCAAATTTGGTATTGATTCAGTTTACAGTAGTACTGTGAACAAAAATGAATGCTGTTGTCAAAAGTTTTATCAGAATTACTAGAAGGAAGTAAGTAAAAATGTCTAGGATTACATACATGGTAACCAGTCAACCACGGTCAGCCAAGATTTAGAAATAACTATGCTAGAAAACAAGCTCCAAGGACTTTGATAGTATAAATCAAAATGTAGGCCCATGTTACACAAACAGAGCTATCTATTTGAAGCCTAGGTATGGCTCTGTGAATAAGATTTATTTTTCATTATTGAAAGGAGGTTGCGATTGTGTTTTTTAAATATACGCAGTTGGCCATCATATCGTTTGTCGTTACAGGGCACAGACATTAGCGAAGCATTTGAAGCCCACCACATCAGCCAATATCCAGAGCAACTGTTAAAGAAATACTTCGTCCGAGAAGCCAATACCAAAAGAAACAGCCCCTTCACATTCAAAGAAGATGGCTTCTACAGAACTCTGAAAAAGGAAGTAAGAGAAGCTCTTAAGACGATGCCAAAACAACCGTGGAACACCTCCAACTTTATGGTTGACACGATGGCATTCTTTTTGTTTCTTTTCTCAGTATTGGCTGTGAGACATTGGAATTATTTTATTGGCATATTGGCTGGAATATTTCTTGGGCTGTTGTCAGTCGCCGCTCACAATTACTTCCACCGACGGGATAATCTCAGGATGTACTATTTCCAATTTTCATTGATGCAAATCAGGTAGGTACCAGTTTTTTTTCTTATGAGTGCTTTACGTACCCCATCCCCATCCCCATACAAATAAATACGTAGCAACCGATTATTTTGTCTTCACGAAAACATTTTGTTGGAATATATATATAAATATCACGAAGGACGTTTCTTTCTTTGCGAGAGCCTTTGGAAAAATTGCCGAAGTACATTGACTCTGCACTTTCTACGCAACGCAGTTAACAGTTCATGAAAAAATATATTTAGCACAAGTTAGCCCCTTACAGAAAACCTGAAATGCGTTTCTGTGATATCGCCACACATCTTCCATTGTTACATGATACCTCCATCCGCACCACCGCGAACATTGTTAGTTAACTAGTAATCACTTACATTTATCACAATGAGTGAAATAGGTTAGTTAACAGTTGAAGACTTAGGATTATAGCTATGCATTCCTTTCATTCGATACATGGGACCGAACATATTTCTACCATTTTAAGTCTTAAGGGAAAACGTACAGTGAAATCTATCTAAATGCCCATCTTCTGCTACCTACCTCCCTCAAACATTTTCGGAAAAGGAGCAGGTGTTTCTGGAACGTCCAAAACTGAAGTTTGAGCAATTTTTATTTCTTGTTACCTGTGGTACCGCACTCACTCAATCGATTATTCAAAAATACAAAGCTTCTTCGTCCTTGGTACAGTGGTAACATTGTGTCAACATTTCATTAATATCCAAGCGGTTCTTTCCAACTTTAGAAGGTTCAAGAATAGCGGACATATTTCATGTTCTAAATACGTAAAGTCCTATAGCTTTCACCTCATTGAATAAGATGACTTTTTTAACTACATGCTATATTTCTCCTAAAACTATTATAATTTCAGAGAATGGAGAATACTCCATGCACTGAGTCACCACCTTCATACCAACACTATTGATGATTTGGAGATATCATTGCTTGAACCACTCCTACAATACCTTCCAACTGCTAAAGCTCCAAAGCAGAGATATGGCTCTCTGTTTCTTGTACCAATCATATGTATATTCCATTTCCATATACAATTCTCTAGAAGGTAAGGTATCATAATTTTTTTAAACACTTTCAAAAGTTACCATCAATAGATTCTTGGCTGCATATAAATGACGTAGCCATGAAAAATGAAAATTCATTTGTTTATCTTCCTTGAATATTATTTAGAAATTCAATTATACTTTCATGGTTTATTTGTATTACTGAAATTCTTATGATCGAAGACTACGAAGGATGAACCCTATGCTCAGCCCATGAGCTATTGGACTACCGCTATATTTATTTTATATATTGTTATTTTTTCTACTAACAATAATCATCGATGCTCCAGCATTTCAATTTCTACTCTTCTATGCCAGATATCATATGTTGATTACTTTAAAAACTCTACCCTCGTAAACGTTACTAATACTTAGACTAATTAGACCAGATCTGGCAAATACGGTGGATAATCTACCAATTTAAATCCTGCTTGATATATGGCAGCAATAGCAATGCATTAGGTTTAGGTAGAGTGTTTCTCAACTTCGATAATGTTGCACGTCCGTCTTGCAACACCATTACGCGCACTTTTTTAATAACGTATGTCCTAAAAGTTTAAGCACAAAACATTAATCGGATTATTTTTAATGAAGAAATTCATTTGAACAATAACTAGTTATCATATATTGCAACTCAAAACTTAACTAAGGCCCGTATCGTCATACTCCTTTCTATCCTTCAAAAATTTCTAGATTTCACTTGTCCCGTGTCAGCGTCAGCACTCTCCTATTGTGAAGATTTGTTTTCCTTTTAAATTGTAGGAAATTTCAGGCTGATAAAACATGGTATAACTCAAAAGCAAGCACAATTTGATGCAAATAGATGTTTGTGACATAACCTCAAAATAGAGTTCTGACACGGAGAAGTAGAAAACTATGACAATCAAGGAGGCCATAAAGGCGCCCTACAATTATAGGGACGACTGACGATACGGGCCTAAGCCATACTGTCGAATTATGTGGAGTGGCCCATTCTATTGTTCGATAAATGGTTCTGCGTGAAATGTTCTCATTCTGGAATATTCGACAGATTTCAGCTTGTAGATACTTTTTCTTATTTCTAATTTATATGACATCTCAAAGCGAAAACTTCAAAATAAATAAATGTCAACTGACAGTAAAGTAAGTAAACAAACTTTTGTTTCCAAGGGCAACTTGATATTATTTTGTGTTTATTAAAATTAAAGCCAGTGAATTTTGTGCCCAAACTTTTAGAACATACGTTATTTTGGTCAGTAATTACTACAAGCATACCACTGTCAGCGGCATGTTGGTTTTCATAAGTGGCCTTTCCACACTTAAAATCTCGATACCATCATTTGACAATACCATAAGAACGTATAATACACATCCTCCATCCTGTTCTGTAAATAGTTTAGGGGCAAAGCATAGTGGTTAAATCTTGAAGCTTTATTTGTGCACAAATGATCCTTTAATATTTTTGCAGAATGTACGATGCTTATAAAAGAAATGGATATAATCTGAAAATCACTGATTTGACTGCTGCTATATTGCCCATATCGATGTATATATTGGGAGGACAATCTTTGTTGGCAACGTTGTGGATGTGGAACTTCATTTTGCACGTAGGATCTTGCCATTTTGCCCTTGTTGCTTTACATGCGGCTCATCATCATCCAGATATATTTCACGATGGTGACACACCCAGGTAAGACAAAAAATAAAGATATGACTTCTCCTAGTAAGGTCATAGAATTTATACCTTCAGAAATACGCTTCGTTACATTTAAGGCAGCTTTAGAAGTTGTGATTCCGGTGCATCGATTTTTAAAAATATGAATACATGGTGTCAACCAGATCAAATAAACCGATCGACAGAAAAATAATGTGACATCGATTTTGGTGATATATGGTACACTGCCATTTGAAAGCTTGTGGGAAATTTTATCATCATTTGACCGTCACAACTTTTGAGATAGTTCGTCGAATTCTTTGGAAGTAGATGATTTAAGGTTCTCTCACTTTACTTTAGAGTTGTTTCAGAGTCTTTATTTGTAAGATGTATCCCGTTTTGTAGCTCACTGATCAAATGTGTCCCAAAAGTTTTTTCTGTTTTTGTTTCTACACAACTTTCGATCAGCTGTGGCATGCTGCCCTCTTATTTAAACTTCCATCATATGACCTCCCAGGAAAGCTTTGCAAATGAGTGGCTGACTTTCTCTCCCGCATCAAGATATTCATCGTAATCGACGATTTCTCGACTTCGCCCCACATCCACAGCTTTGCTAGTGACAGCACTCTACAGGCGGGCATTCAGTGTGGCAAGCCAATCTCTGCCGATAGAAGAAAACTAGTAGACATTTCATCTTTGACGAAGAGCTGGAAGCTATCACCGCTTGGACACATTGACTAACAAGAAGCACCCTAGCGGTCATCCACTAACGATGGATGGTCGAGTCATGCCAAAGAGCCATTTTGGCTGGTCAGAGTTCAGATCACCAACGACTGGATCTTGCTCAAGCATATCTTGTCAGTCGCAATAGCTATAGTGGGAGAATCTAGGTTATTTATTTGAAGATAAGGAGTACTTTCCTCTACATAACCTCTTCACTCTGTACAAAGCCCTTATAAGACTTAGCCTCGAGTACTGCGATCTCTCCCTTGTTCCTAGGGTGTCGAAAGTCAGGAGCAATGTGCCTGAGGATTCTATTCTCAGTCCTGATAACATTAGGCAATTCAAAAATCCAATTAATAGGGCGGCTTTAAGTTCGTGGTAGTGATGGCGCGTCTCCCAGGTATTTAGTTTTCTGCCTACTGGGCAGTGTATAAAAATAACACAGTTTGAATGATACCGTCGGTTAATTGTGTTGGTTTTCTGGCACGTTATGCTTTCTTCCCACAGGAGTCTCTTCGTGAACAAGAATCCGGTCATGTTTTCCATTAAAAATTCTCTCACTTCCAATCGAGAAACAATATTGAAGGAGCACGCTTTGACGATCATTGCGAAATCGCTTTTATGCTTCACAGTAGGAATTATGCACATGAAGATTGTTTCGTATTTACACCACACATGACTTCTTTCTGAAAAATCTCGAATTTGAACTCATCAGTCAGATCAACATGAGCACTATCTGATAGCCTTTGGTGAGTCAAAAGTAACAAGAATGTCAGAGGCATCTAAATTCGACATTTTCAGTAACAAATGATAATTATAAATGAGGCAACTGGTTCACGGAACATAGATGTCCAGCTGCAAAGTTCCAACCGCGAAATACCTGGACCTGAGTGCGTCATCAGTCAGTGCTGTTTCTCCAGTGCACAGGATCTATAGAATCCTTAAGAGAAATGTTATCACAAGATTTGTGTTCACCAAGTGGTTCCAGCAAGAAGTCTTATTGAACCAGAATGGGTTATGCAATCATGAGTACGATCAAAAACTCTGATTATAACTGAGTATAAAGCATTTGCTGAAAAAACACCAGCAAGTACGTTACAAACAATGGAATGTCCAGGATAGTTTCCCGATTTCAATCTGATCGAATTTCCTAGGAGCGAACCTGACCGACGAATCAGAAAATAATTAATTAAAAAAAAGTTATTGTAAACGTATGACCTAGAATATTCTATTACCAAGGTACACGGTATTCTAAATGTCTATGCTTCAGATGGGTGAGGGCAAACACGAATATTGTTCAAATAACGCTAAGGTGAAACAAGATTACTCTTAATACATCACATACAATGTTCAAGGTCAAACTTAGTGGTAGTAGAACGGGTTCGAGTTCCTATAAAGGGATTATACCTCCAACATTCATACCATTTTTTCTCCAAAGGGAGTAATCAAAAACGCTATAGAGTTTTCAAAAAGTCAGTGTCGTAGGGGTCAGAGACGTAAATTTTTGTTTGGCTATGTAGGACCCATGTTTATAACAATTTTTCGTGATATTTTTTTATCTACTGCATGTCTGAGAAATGAATGACCCTGTACATCAACGTGCTATATAACCAAGCTTATATCGCTATCTTCAATTTTAAGTAAACAACTATCGCGTATTCGAGAACTTTTTAACGGCAGTGTAGACGTCATAAAATAAACAAAATACGTATTATCTCGAATCCGAAAACATTCATAACCATGCACCTTTTTCCCTCGTGCTTGGGGTCAAAAAATGGCGTCAAGTAGATTGACTCTATAGTTCCCTGGCCTCTAAAACAACTTCTAGTACAATTTTCCATGTAGTGCGACATCATCAAAAAATGTCTGTACACGGTAGCCTCACGTCTTTGGAGCTCTGGTGTAAAACTGCTTGTCAACAATGTATGATAACATGATTATAATAGCTCTTCTTACGAATATACTAGTGTCCTATATAATAATGCTCGTATATATAATATAGATAACAACGCGCTCACCTCGTATGTGCATGTCGCGTCACCGGGCGATCCGTTACCTGCTTTTATGTTCCTGGGGTAGAGTACCAAATATGCAACCTTTACATTGTCTGGCGCATGGCAAGTGCGACCGATAGGTACGCGATATGTCGGCTGTTTCAGGGGCAAATGTGCGGGGAAATCTACGATGTGTGAAAGATGTCAATTAGGTGCATTGCATTTCTGGGGTAGGAAGTGTATCAATCTACTAACATCAAAAAATTGCGATACACCCAATTTTTTAACCTTAAAAGTGTTTTTTAAAATGATCAGGATCGTCTAAAACATCAAAAAGCCAGGTTTGAGCGAGTTTTGTTTTTCTCGTTTTTTTGCATTTTCCGTGCCGCCACTGGACCGATTCTCAAAAATTTATTTTAATATAAATTTTTTTCGTCCTTGGCATAGTAGTTACCTTGTGTAAGAATTTGATGCAAATCTCATTAGTACTTTCCAAGTTATAGACGGGCCAAGGACTTGCGGACATAACGACGGATATGAGTGACATGGTTTTTCGTGATGCACATGTCATATAACATCCAAAAAACGTAATATATCATTTTCGTAATTTTTCGCAATTACAATACTTCCTCGTTAGTACGTAAAAGTGGATGTTGAAAACAAGCTAACTTCAGTATGTTAAAAAGAATGTCTTGTTATAGGTCGGATGAAAATTACGATTGGGGTCTAAGTCAACTAGATGCCCTAATGGAACGCAAGGAAATAATTGGATCACATTTCCTGGTATTGACCAATTTTGGAGATCATTGCTTACACCACCTTTTCCCGACGCTGGATCATGGAGCCCTAGAATTTCTCTATCCAGTCCTTCAGAAGAACTTGGAAAAGTTTGATGTCGATTTACGTGTAGTCTCACAATGGGACACATTCTTGGGGAGTTTTCAGCAGCTGATGAGAGTTACTCCTAACCCAAATCCTCCAGACCTGAAGAAGTACTCAAAGAAAAACTAATACGTTAGGGCTACTAACTGATTTACGTCGAATGATGGATGGATATACGTAATATTGTCTTCATTTCTAATTGTTATTTTATTTATTATTAGAGAGTTTCGCACCCACAAATGTCACATACGTAAACGCTAATTTCACCTTTCATTGTTATTTTGACATTTAAGCTAGCGATTACGTATGCGTATTTGTGATTGACAAAAGTCTCTACTAATATTAATATTACCGTAATCGAACTAGAGTTAGTGATACTGCATACCCGTATTAAGCGAATTTATAACTGTTCTGCTGCTTCTAATTTCATTAGCTTTAAGTATTCATTAAATGCTGCCAACCATCACTAAACATGTGCTAAGGTGTACTTAGAAATAAAATAATCTATCAGCCATGAACCTTCAATTCCCTTAGACTATGTCCCTGCCGGGTAGTATGTTGATCATCATCATGATACTTCATTAGTTCGCCGGAAGGACACCACAACTATAAGGGATTTAAACTACTGGACATCAGCAATGATCATTTAAAAAGTTTTGGCTGTCGACTTATATGTGCAAATATGATAAATATTACAGAACATTTATATAAAATAGCCACGTTATATGAATATGCAGCTTATACGATATAATTCAGATAAGCTGTCAGTAAACATTATCATTAACAAAAATAAAATAAAACAACGCAATACATACCCCAAAGGTCATTTGGTATACATCATAGTAAGATTCCTGCAGCTTCTGTATAGTTTTTGGTGAAAAAATGGTGCGGAAATCAGAACCCTTGTCGACTTTAGGCATAAAACCACCTGCGTCAAGAGTAAAAAGTTTGGAGTTGACTGCAGAAGTTTGGTTGAAAGAGAAACAAGACACTGATGGAGCTGAAGGCCTATGGAGGGTGCATAATGGTCTCTACGATTTGACTGACTTCGTTAACAAACATCCAGGGGGTTCCGAGTGGCTTACACTTACTAAGGTATGTACAGCGTGCTATAAAGTGACCCTCCTCTACATCTTCAGTATAAATGCTTAGAAAAAAATGCCTGCGGTTTGTTATACTCATTTTTATTACTTTAGTCAATAACTTTTTCTTGTGTGTCATTTATTCAAGTGCATCCGAGTTTAACTAGTTTGCATCTTACCGCCTAAGCAATCTAAAGAAATGGAAATAAGTATAACAAACCATGCAGTGTAACATCTGAAACTTATCCTGTGGTTTTCATGCTGATAATATAATCCCCCATGTTTGTCTGGCCACATCAAACCACATACCTATATGTTTATAATTCCTCTTTTTTCTACGTTTCGGACCCAAAGATGACCTTTTTAAGTACAACCGACACTTTTGACAGTATCTTTTGTTTATCTGTTCTCCAGGTGATACTGTATTTGTTTTTTCCCTTTCGTTTACATATTAGTATACAATATGTTACTTCAATACTCTGAATTGTCCTTCAACATGCTGAGATTCCGCGAAGCCACAATTGCAATTTTTAGATGTCATTGATCAAAACCAGCAAAACCCAGGGCCGCCTGGGGTAAGAATTCCTGTGCCCAAAAGTACGTCCAGCCCTCCAAAGCGACAAGCGAGCACCAGACGCGCCACCCTCGTTCATCGTCTCTAAAACGCCAAAAATCCTCTGAAAACGCGAAAACCCACCCAAAACCATTGTCGTAACACACAGGTGCTTCGACACCTAAATAGAAAGACGATATTTGTCTGATGAGGAAATAATGGAGGCATAACAGTTTGGCCTTGAGATGGCGAATAAAATACATGCACATTTGAGATCCAATAAAAAACGATCAGAAAAAACTTGGATGTGAAAAACTCATGGTCCACAGAAAGTACTATACCCCATTCGCAATCCATTTACGCCCAGACAAAACACAACATGCCCAAAAGCAAGATTGTACAGGTCCGTATTTTCCTCAATGGTCTTGGAATAATCTAACAAAATGAATGATTACTGGAAGTACTTGAATCATCCGAATGGTTAATATTAATCATTAAAGGTACAATTTGAATATCATATTGTCCAGATCCCAGATCTTTGTTTCGATTGTCTCTTGAACGTGACGGATGCAATCTTCAGCTTCATAAAACAAATTGAATGTTCTGTTGTTTGAAGCAACATAGTTTTTTATCAATTCAATGGGATTTAATCCGCAGTAATAAGGGGGTAGCCTAAAAACGATCTTACGTTGGTTTTTAGCCATTTCGTCAATAACAATAAGATTATATTTATATTTGTGCTGCCTGACTAGATGGAGAAGTTCTGCTTTCACCATATTTTCATTCAAACTAATGTCTTTTGATAGAAGCCATTGTTGAATTTCTGCCTTTTTTGTGGACATTGTGGGAATTTTTTCTAGTTTTCTAGTGTAGTATGCAGTATTATCAAGTACAATGATGGCATTGTCGTCAAGCTTTGGGAGCGTTTCTTCAAACCGTCGTTCCCGTCCATTTCTTCATGGTAGTCGGTCGTTTTCTTTGACTCAAATGCCCATAGGACAGTGGGCACAAAGTCATCTTCACTGCCAATGTGACAGATAAGAAATCGTTTTTCTTTTCCTGGAAATAATTATTTCATATGATATTCAAGAAAACTAATAATAATACAAGCAAAGAATCTAACAGGTGTTGGTTGAAATTCAGTCTACTTGACACCATGTTTACAACACAAATGACGAATTGGTTAGATACACGTACCTGACGGATTCTTTAGGCCAGTGCTTAGTCCATTTAAGAAGGCTTGTCTTGCTGATTTAATTGTAGAGTCAGGCCATACTTTAGGTTTTGTTTGCCCTGCATTTATCCAGGTTTCATCCAAGTAAAAAATCTTCCTGCGCTAGTCGCAGTATTTCTTTATTGATTCAAAATAATTTCTTCTCCATAAAATAATCTCTTGGCCGATCAGTTTTCAACTATATCCAACAGCTTCGTGTTTTTATATTCTTTAACAATGTTGAAAATTGTCTTAGGGCATAAGCCTGTTTTGTTCATCACACGTCTTTCAATATCATGAATTTTCATTTCAGGCTGCACTAAAACTTCGCTCTTATAAACGTTAAGGACAATTTCTTTTGTTTGAATATTTAAATGTCCCTTCTTGTCACGTTTTCGGAGAGGAAACATCACTGAAGAGGAAGCATGGCTGAAGGGAGCATTGGGAGAAATATTCTCAGTTTCATCTGCTGAATCTGTAGACGACATGCTAACGTATAAACACACGCTTTGCCGCGCTGCATCTTTATAATGCCAGGGCGTAAATGGACTACGAATAGGGTATAGAAAGAAAATTTTTGTTCAATTTCATATAGGCTGATTCCCTTACCTTCTTATTATGATTGTTATTCTCATATTGTAAAATAACCTGTTAATTTCAGTTTGTCATTTTGAAACCAGGTAACTAGATATTTTAAAGTATTTGTAAAATGAGTTGGAAGCGTCATGATAGTGATTTTGGAATATATAGAATTAGTAGAAAAAAAATGTATAAATACATCGTTGGTCTCACACATTTTGTCAAAACGAGTATGCAATGTACTATTGAACAGCACGGTAATTCAACGAAATTTTAAAATCATTGTGACCAGTTTTGGTCTAATTTGATGGTAAAACAATTGAGCGAATTAGGTAATCAGGGACGGACTAGCACTAACGCAATACTGCTGGTATTTCTTACTCTGTATAATAATGCTTCAAAATAATATTCTTGTAAACACTATAACACACTAGCTAAAAAAAGGAATTCTTGTTGGATTTCTATAAAATGAGCAGTTCTTCAGAAAAACAGTCAATACTATCGATTTACACTCCAACCATTCCCCAAAAAAGAAAGTCAAAAATCTAAAACTTTATTAAGTTATCTGCAAAAAAACCTTTTCCGGTGGCTAAATACAAATAAAATAACAGTATTACTTTTTTCAAAATATCTGAACCGGTATAATAGATCCAGAGCCAAAATTAATAGAATTGTACGAAAATAAAAAAGTTCTTCTCAAAAACGGTCCAATTTATCAATGTCAAGCGAGAGTATGGTTTTTCAGCTTACAGATCAAAATTTTCAAAGATACTACCGTAGGGTCATTATTCTTTATTAGTCGACTGTCTGTTCTTCAATAACCGAAATTATCCACGTCGGAATGGAGGAATACATCCCTCACACAGTGAAAGTTCCTAAACCAGGGTCCAACGGCTGGTTCAACAAATCGTGTGACACTGCTCGCCAGCAGAAGATCAAGGCCCACAGAACCTACTTACAAAACCCTACTGTAGAGAACAGACAAGCCGACGTCGAGTCCAGAAACAAATATAACGAAGCGGTTCGCAATGCCAAAAACCAGCATGATATAAAAGTTAGGCATAGGGTAATGTCGCAGCGCAATGGCAGTCGGTCTTTCTGGACGCTGGCCAAGCAGATTGAAAAGAACTTCTCACACAGTAGCCTTCCACCACTTACGTGTCAGGATGGAACTATTGTATTCGACTCAAAGGCCAAGGCGGAAGTGCTAGCCAAGATCTTTTCTGCCAACTCCACCATGGACGTCCCCACCAACGCCCAAGTGCCGTCAATTCAAAGGGTTCCCCACACTATGCGGGAGGTAACATTCAGGCATAAGACCGTAAGACGAGTGCTCTTGTCGCTCGATATCAACAAAGCTTCTGGTCCGGACTTGATTCCTGCCATTGTACTGAAGAGATGTGCAGCGGAGCTTGCTCCAGTTCTTTCGCGTCTCTTCCAGATATCTTATGAATCCGGCACCTTCCCAGAAAACTGGAAATTTGCTCATGTACAGCCCATCCCAAAAAAAGGATCTAAAACCGACCCTTACAACTACAGGCCTATAGCTCTGCTTTCTGTTATAAGTAAAGTGATGGAGAAGTGCATAAATCGCGAGCTTCTGGACTACCTCGAACGTCACAGCTTGATTAGCGACAGGCAGTACGGTTTCCGGCACCAACGATCCACAGGGGACCTCCTAGCTTACGTCACGCAACTGTGGAGTAAACTCATCCAGTCTCATGGTGAGGCTCATGTCGTTGCTCTTGACATCACGAAAGCGTTCGATCAGCTGTGGCACGCTGCCCTCTTAAGCAAACTTCCATCCTACGGCCTCCCAGAAAAGCTTTGCAGATGGGTGGCTGACTTTATCTCTGGCCGCAAGATATCCGTCGTAATTGACGGATTCTCCTCTTCATCCCACAACGTCAACGCGGGTGTTCCCCAGGGATCGGTCTTGGCTCCAACACTGTTTCTCTTACATATCAACGACCTCCTTTCCTGCACGATCAACCCAATCCACAGCTTCGCTGATGACAGCACTCTACATGCAGGAATTCAGAGTGACAAGCCGATCTCTGCCGCTGAGCTGGAAAAAAGAAGACTAGCGACGACTTCTTCTCTGACAAGAGACCTGGAGGCTATCACTGCTTGGGGACGCAACAATCTTGTACAGTTCAATGCTTCCAAAACACAGTACTGTACTTTGACGAACAGAAAGCGTCCTAGCGCTCATACAGTTTCGATGGACGGTCGAGTTCTACCAAAGAGCCATTCATTTCGGCTGGTCGGAGTCCAGATCACCGAGGACCTGATCTGGCACGAACACATCTCTTCAATAGCTGCAGCTGCTGGGAAAAAGCTAGGCTATTTGTTTAGAGCTAAGAAGTACTTTTCTCCGCATGACCTTCTCACTCTATACAAGGCCCAGATAAGGCCTAGCCTGGAGTATTGCTCACACATTTGGGGTGCTGCCGCCCCGACTACATTGTCCATGCTCGATGCTGTCCAGAGGAGGGCGGTCCGACTGATCGATGACTCTTCTCTAACAGACAGTCTCGGGACTCTTTCGCACCGGCGGGCCGTCGGCTTTGCTCCTCAGAGCTCTCTTCCATGATGCCGCCGCGCGATGTGCCTGCCAGACAGACCCGCCTGACTTCGGCGTCCCATCCTAACCGTGTCAAACTTCGTACATCCAGAACTGGCCGATACGACCGCTCCTTTGTCCCGAGGGTGTCTAGATTGTGGAACAATCTACGGGTGGAAGCTTTTCCCAGTTCTACTAACCTTAGGCAGTTCAAAAATCGTATTAACAAAATTTCTCTGGAATCATCATAGCAGCCGCGGTGTTCCGGCATTTAGGCTTCTGCCTGCGCGGCTGTTTCGATATACAAAAAAAAAAAAAAAAATTACACAGGATGTTAAAAGATTAGTAATATTACGTTGAGGGAGGTCCGTTTTATTGATACCACCAAATGAGCTCCCAACAAGTTATCAAGCTGTCAAATTTTCTTTGAGTCGTTCAAAAGAAAAATCTATTTCCAGTAGCGTCCCTTCGTGTTAGATCCGCGTATGGCATTTTTTTTATTCTGAAACATACTGTATATTTGGGATCAGAGAAAAGCAGTTAGGATTTCACTAAAAATATACAAGATGTTTTGTTTAAAAAACACAACATTAGTCGATACAGAAAGCTAAGATCCTGTATATAAAAGAGATTGCATAAAAACAACATTCAGACTCACCAACTTTTTTATGGAACTCTTTTTTTAAACGGTCGTACAGAAAAGATAAAAAGGAAGCCAATTTATGGCGGGATGCCTTATCGCTTATCATGTACATACAGAAAAAGAGTAATTAGTGGGTTAGATCGTTTTAGTAGCTGAATACGATACGGGATTAAAGTTCTGTGTCTGCATTGTGATCCTCACAGCGGGCTCGTACTCCAAATAATGTCCACTTTGCTTAAACAAAGGTACCGTGAATAACTAGTTCAAATCTCATCAATACATTTCGATAGTCCAAAGTGGCGGTTATCGTTGAAAGTCCATTGAGTTCGGAAAAGAGACTCAAGGATATTAAAAAAAGTTTTATAAGATTTTTTCCATGGTATCAAAGTAATAATTCCTGTGAATATAGTTGGTAACTTAATATTAACCGTGCAGGATGGGGTAAAAGCACTCTTATGGGAAAATAATGACACAAAAATTTGGCCTTAAGGCGGAGAGGCACTTATTCACCTGAATAAAAATATAGCGCCCATAACAGAAAATAAAGTTCGGGCTGGAGATAAAACGTCACATTGGTACTTTAATTATGGGACCTTGCAGAGGTGAGAAAGTGGCAATAGTAATGCGCAACTTATTTTGAAATCCCATGAACTCCAAATAAAAACAGGAAAAAGTAGAACTGTTCTGAGGATATCGTTTTCTTCTTCGTCTGTCTACTGTAATACTCCGAACTCCGAAACTTCATCAGTGTAAGAGCCGAATGTGAAACATCCGATATAGGCTGATTCCTTTATCTTGTTCGATCGGCGATGATCATCCCTTGTTATGTTTTATACATATTAAGTACGACTTTAATTACAGGGTATTGACATTACCGAGGCATTTGAAGCTCATCATGTCACCCAATATCCAGAGCAACTGCTTCAGAAATACTATATTCGAGAAGCCAAGACAAAAAGAAACAGTCCGTTCACTTTCGAAGAGGATGGCTTCTATAGAACACTCAAAAAGGAAGTCCGAGAAGTTCTGAAGACGATACCAAAACAACCAAAACACACCTCAAACTTTTTGATAGATGCATTGGCTTTCTTTGTATTTTTGTTCTCATCATTGGCTGTTAGACATTGGAGTTATTTTATTGGTATATTGGCGGGAACATTTCTAGGGATGTTAACTGCGGCAGCCCATAATTATTTCCATCGTCGGGATAACTTCAGGATGTATTACTTTCAATTTTCATTCATGCAAGTAAGGTAAGCAACTATAAATAAACTACTTTTCTGGATTGCTTCATTGCAGATCAAAAGTACAAAAAATTAACAAAAACAAATAAATATAAGGACGTTATTAATGGTCGATTTATAATTTTAGAGAATGGAGGATAAGCCACGTTTTGAGTCACCATCTTCATACCAATACTATCGATGATTTGGAAATATCATTGTTAGAACCACTCCTGCAATATTTACCAACCGATAAAGAACCTCTACAGAGATTTGGATCGCTGTTTATTGCTCCATTCTTATGGATACTTTTCTTCCATATACAGTTTGTTAGAAGGTAAGGAAGCTTCCGCCGCATACAAGGGCCGGATCCAGGATTTCGTCTAGGGGAGGGGGCGCAAACGATCTTTGGGGCTGGTAATTTTTCTACCTCAGTGGAACTTCTAGAATTTATCCTATTATTGCTCCTTAAATCCATTGTGTTCTATCTGTTCAATGCCAATCGAAAAAAAATATGGAAAGTGCTCAGAAATCCTCAGAAAGGCAATATTTTATTATATAAGAACAAAAGAATTACGTGACATTTATAATGAACTAGTGTTATAATATTAAAGATTAAAACAAAAAAACTCCATTGCTCAGTTAACAAAAAAAGACATTTTGAGGGACCCCGAGACATATCCCAGCCATTGCACACAAAACAATGTCTTTGATGGCGAAAACGAACATGAGACCGAAAAATTCACATTATCGTATGGACGCTAGACGAGACAAAGAAGGATGTCTATAGACCATCATCTGTAGATCGTGTGTTGAGACCGTCTCCAGACTGCCTATAGATAAATTGCGCAATAGGGTCTACTAGTGTGTACTAAGCTTAAGGATTAATACTCTGAACTACCCGTTAAACAAATCAAGTAATTGGTGTAAACACTGACACATTCAAGCACTTCTATTATATCAGCAGGTGATAAAAATATCAATAGGTATAGTCAATTATTTTTGAAATTCAATATGTATGTTACAGTTATTCTTCAGACTTTCGTTGTCGAACTTAGGTTTACGGCATAGTTGTGGCTTTTTCAGTTTTCGAATCCATGTTGATCGCATGTAAAAATGTTGGAAATCTTTGGAAAAACTATATATGTTAGATCGTAATTATTTTGATAATGTATGTTTGTACAAAACAAGAACAGGAATACAGGGCTGTACTATTCAGGTGCATTGCAGAAGCTCTGGGACTTAAATGAATCCCAATATAGCAACATAAATAGAAACATACGCGGGAAGAAATGCGGGACGTGTGGTATTGACTTTGAGCATCGATCGACGCATTTTCTGGACAGGCTACAGGCGCACCGCGAAGCAAATCTCATAAATGTATATTTCCAATGTAGGCGTTCATCTAACATATAGTCTAATCGTATTAGCAAATTTCCCTGAAATGATTGCAAAGTCCGGTTTTATTGGTGCAAGTTGTTCAAGGCCGCATTTTAAATATGGACGCATAAAATGGTTAGACCAGTTTTTGTGGAAAAACTTTTCGAAGTTATGACATTTATAAAAATTTCGATTACGATAGGTCTATATTTGGGGAAATAAGATTTGGAATAATATGACCCATTTCCGTAAAATATATTTATTTTTGAAAATACTGTGGCTCGGTGTCTTATTGTCAAAACAAAATGCAGTCTAAGGGTAATTTGAGAGAAGGCATGTATTATAAATATATAAATTGGGATTGTTCGTAGAAACAGCTCACTTAATGGAATTTGACGGACTCCTTACCTATGGTGAAGTTTTTTTGTGGCATATATGGAGCCAAATGCGTATATGCGTAAAGTGTATCAATATGTCTGAAGACCGAGAAAGATCACGTACCACAGAGATCAATTTATTTGGTAAAAAAGGGCATAAGACACTCATTACAATCTTTTTTAGACTGGTATTGTTGTTATTTGTGATCTACGGTAGCCGCTCTGAATAAAGACAAGGATATATTCTGATGGATAGATACAAATCATTATTTAGTGGTATTGTGAGAGTAATACAAAAATAGTTTTCCTACAAAAAATTTCATAACCCGCATGCATATCGACAATAAGGTCAATGGCCTAGCCAACAATTTATTTTTTCCCCTGAGTTACTCGTTCAGTCTTTATCAGAGCTGCTGTCAGTTGGATGGTATCATCTGAACTAAATCCAGAACTATCTTCGTTTTATGTATCACTACCTGTAAGGCATCCATTGTTTTCATCAGCAAACAGCTTCCATTTGACGTCCATCTTGGAACGAGAGTGACTTATAGATTTTTTAGTGTAAAAATAAAGAATATAGTGTTTCTTCGACAACGCCTCCTAGAAATTATAGCGTTATCTATCTGCAAATCAACAAAGAAATCAACTTTGGACATGGAATCCTACACCAGGGATATACATTCAAATACTACCTAAAATATAAAATACTCGATACTAATTATACGTCTCCTTTACGTATACATATATATCATTAAAAATACTTACAATTACGAAATTATCACTTTATTCTATGCCATATACTTCCTGAAATTATTATTTTTTTCATTATTAGTCTTCAACACATTTATAGAAAGATTGACTATATTAACTTTTAAAAAATAAATTATATACGGTTCTGAGACATACAATTAGTATTTTAAAGTTAATTGTGGCTTAGGTCCCTTGCTACTCCAAGCCATTCAATTTGTCTGTTAACTAAGGCCTACATTAATAATTGACCCTTGACTGAGTGCCTGTTCAAAATTGTAAACCTTTTAATTTTAAACGAACGTTAACGCATTTAACCGTTTGCATTTCACTATAGGCTGTAGAAGTTTCCATTACAGGTTTTCAAAATCTCTAAAATTGTAAAGTGTTAAAAAACGTTTCACAATCTTTAAAAGTAGTGTCTGCTGGGAAAATATTCTGATTCAGATTTATTGCATAGTCTTAATCAAAAGAACCCCTTTTAATGAAACCGTCTGTTGTCAGGCCAAAAATTGCGTCAAAAATTGTTTAAACAATTTTTTATGCAATACAGGTATTACTACTTCATGAAATTTTGAAAATCAGGTGCAGCATACTGTGGAATATAAATGTTAAATATCAGTTACAGGTCACTCAGGGTTGCTATTGTTTGTATGAAATCCAAAGAGTTGATTAATCCTGAATCGGCACGGTCCTCAATGGTCGACTATAAATGTGAGACATTCAATTTTGGTAGTAAAATAACGAGGGGGCTTTTAAAGATCTCAACGATAGCAATTTGCAGGTTCTCAGTTGGATAATTCGTTTAGTCGTGATCCATAATGTTTAGTTATTGAACTACCGTTTCCTAAAAGTTCCGCCAAGTGGAATACCCATCGACTCTTGGAATCGGAAAGGAACTGCCATTGCATTACTATTTGATGTCTTGTTTAAATACGATTACAAATGATCAAGTCAGGGACCAAAGATCAATCATGAACTTTGCCGTTTCAGAATGGTGGAGGCTTATAAGGAAAATGGAAATAACCTAAAAATGACAGATATAACCACTATCATTTTGCCCTTATCGATGTACGTATTTGGAGGACAGTCTTTCATAGCAACTTTGTGGATGTGGAATTTCATTTTGCACGTAGGAGCTTTCTACTTTGGCCTTGTTGGACTTAATGCTGCCCATCATCATCCTGACATCTTCCACGATGGTGATACACCCAGGTATGGATTCAAAGCTAATTTTAGTTACTACGGGTATACTACTACTTCTATAAGATAGGTAGTAGTAATGTAATGAGTGTTAGCATTCGCATTCGCAAATATTCCCATGTTTTGCAATTATGAATATCAGAAAAAGAGAATATGAAAATAATATTAGGTACGTATATAAAATAAGAAATAACAGTTTATTATCTTTTTACATGTTGTAACAAACACAAACTTTATTTTGACATAGACCGTCATTTGACATTGAAAAACATAAATTATGAAATAACAACGTCTAACACAAAAAAAACAACAATTCTTTTTTTAAACTACTAACAAAAACTTTATTTTACACATAATCTGCTCACTTAGGTTCGAATTTACTATTGACCGGCGGGAATCAAAATTTTTGCCTTTGGCACAAATTGGACCAATAAGAAGACGCCTCTGAAGTAATGAATTTGGTCGATTCTCTTGTCTCTGCATCTAGAAAAAAATTGTACGATTTGTGTAAGATGGGCCCCAAATTCTCATAATAAATCAAGAAATACTTTATATATCACATCATTCAGCTAAAAAAACATATTTTCCATTTTTGTCCAGACACAGAAGTTAATCAATCAAAAAGGATCCATGGTCTACCCGAAACATGGACTAAACCTGATACATTATATTGACATGATACCATTACTGAACATTTTATTGACAATAACAGTGTCTCACTGTTGCTGTACAAAATCTGCTTAATACCTTTTTTGAAGACATAAATAAAATTACAAATTGCTTATTTTATAAAAAACATCGAGTTAACAGGAAGATGTCGCGCACTCTACTGGCCGGTAGGACGACTACACGACCACCCTGCGCCGCGGTGACGGTGGCAAGCCGAGAACCAGTTGTCCTACTGCCCAGTAGAGGGTGTGAGAGCTATGGTTCTTCGGACAGTAGTCAAGTAAATTGAATATATACTCGATGTACTGCGTCCTCTACTGGGTGGGGCCATGGCAAATGCTCGTTCCGGAACTTGGTGTATTCAGTATACAACTTTTTCCCGTCCAAGTGATTGTACACGCGTTAAAGAATAGCTCAGTACTGATTGCCGGGTAGCGATACAAGTCCGCCAACGGGTCACTTTAGGTTTATTTAACATCAATAACACGCAAAAAGAAGGTGTTAGATAAGTACTACTCGACCGAGGCGGTACCACCCGCTAGCTTTCTCCACGGTCTTATAAATCTTTCCACGCCTAAGCTATGCAACAAAGAAATTAATGATGATGGCTCCCTCGAGTACTAAGAATTCCGGACGTAAACTCACTCCACAATCGGAATTTGTCCCGAGGGTGTCGATATTGTGGAACAACCTACAACAAGCCGCTTTTCCCAGTTCTACTAACCCTGGGCAGTTAAAAAATTGGATTAACAAAATTTCTTTGAGATCCGCGGTGTCCTGGCATTTAGGCTTTTGCCTGCGCGGTTGCTTCGGTATAAAAAAAGATGTTTGTTGATGAATGAGCATTTTGTAATTTTATTTAAGACCCCAAAGAATTTATTAAGCAGAATTTTGTACAGTGAGACACTATTACTTTCAATAAAATGTAATTTTAATTGCTGTCAAATCGATAAAGATATTGTATCAGATTTTTGTCCATCCATATGATCACGACCGCCCATTTACTGTCCAGACCCAAATGGAAAAATAAGTTTTTGTAGCTGAACCAAGTGATTTATGGCATATTTCTTGATTTAATGTTGGAATTAGGGGCCCATCTTATACAATTCGCATAATTTTTCTCTAATTTAAGAGACATTTGCCAAGAAATCGACCATACTCATTAGTTACAACAAATCAAAGACACCTTCTCGTTGGTTGAATTATTGACCCTCGTGCTTTTCTGCGCCCCGGCTTAGTAAAATCAGACCTTAAATAATCAGATGTTTGTCATTAGAAAACATAATTATGAAATAACAAATCTAAAGTTATTTTTTATTTTTATCGGTATTTGATAACAAATCTTTTAAAAATAAAAATACAAGAAAACACAGTTATATTCTTGAACTACATTTAGAAAACAAATGTTTTTAAACAAACTGTTTTTTTAAAAAACATATTGATAATATAACCACATTGAACTAGATAAATAATAAACTTTTAAATAGAAGCTTGGCCGTATTTGCTCCTTCAAGTATGTTCCGATATGTATTAACAGTGAAAAATCGAATAATCACATTTACAATATTTACATATCCATTCACATTCGCGAACGCCTAAAAATTGACATTCGTTACATCACTTAAAGTAGTGTCACGTTCACGTTGTCCTACCACATTCACCATATTACGAAGTAAGGTCGGTAACGTCATATCATGTCGCCAACTACACACGATAGGCTCCCGCAGAAACATTTTCCGGAGGGCAAATAAATTTAGCTTGGAAAAGTGCCGAAGAGTAAAATGTGGGAGCAAATTTTCCACTAGAGGGGCAAAATCTTGAAAATCATTGTAAATCAAGCTTGTAACATCTAAGCAAAACCAAACTATATAAAGAAAGCACAAATTTACTTTGTGCAACATTAAGGTGATTCTAATAGGAAATAACTAGTTGAATCCACCAGTTACATCCGACTTCCCCAACCAACTTGCATGCTTGGGAAATTTGTTAACTCTACTAGTGGCGCCACATACACGTTCCGCGGGTAAAACCTCGGGGCAGAAACCATACTTTTGACTTAAGCAGCAATCCATTGAATAAGCAGACTTGTTGTTTCTAGGTCAGACCAAAGTTACGATTGGGGCCTGAGCCAACTTGATGCCATAATGGATCGTAAGGAAATAACAGGATCACATTTCCTCGTGTTGACCAATTTTGGTGATCATTGTCTGCATCATTTCTTCCCAACGTTGGATCATGGAATTTTGGAACACCTCTACCCTACACTTCAAAAAGTATTGGAACAGTTTGATGTCGATTTACGGATGGTTTCGCAGTGGGACACTCTCGTAGGAAGTTTTCAGCAGTTGACGAGAGTTACTCCGAACCCAAATCCTCCAGACTTGAAGAAGTATTCGAAGAAGAAAAATTGAACATAACTATCAACTTAACTAAAAAAACCTCAATGCGCTTGTAACATTAGGTATTTTTAAGTAGATTGATTTTAGATTAATAATATGACGACACAGCTCTGAGTTTCACTCCTGCAAAAAACTATCTCTCTCTCTCTGAGTCACTCTCTCTCTCCGTCTCTCTCTCTCTCCGTCTCTCTCTCTCTCTCTGTCTCTCTCTTATCGTATCTGGGTTTCATTAAGCTCTCATCAAAGATATTTCGACTCATATTAAGTATATTACTTTTTAGTTGTTCAATCTCAAAAACCATAAACTTACTCCCCAGTACCCAACGTGACCTTTAGAATTGTAGCGAGATGTGCATCTCCGAGCTAGTCAAGGGGCGTCTCTTCAGTTTCCGCCACGCCACGCAGAATTGTTTTTAAACATGACAGCAACCTTTCATGGAAAGATCATCCCTCAACCCCTCTGGTAATTATTCCTAAGATTTCGCATTCTCACAATTTATTAACAACGCAAGAGAAAATATCAAAATCTGCGGGAACTGCCCGAGATACTCGTATAGGAACAATGACACCCAAATGTGATGGTCATTAGGTATATATTAATAGTTGTGAGTGGTTGACGCCTTTACCTTACATATGCTTATTTTCAGGAAAGGCACACCTTTAACTTGGAATGGGTACCTTCCGGTGGAATATATCACCTGTATATGGTTCTTTGGACAGGCATGAAAACAAATCCTATTACTCTTCGAAATGTATAGGTTATCTCCAATAGAACAGAAACAAATAGAGACAATGTTAAAATGTCTCCTGAACGTCCCCAGGTCCTTAGATAAAATTATTTCCGCCAATTGTCCCTAGCACTAGGGACATGTCACTAGATCTGACATCACTGGTGACAGACTTGAGAAAGCCTGCCTGTTTTTTTAAGGCAGGTGCAGGGTGCAGCGGTAATGCGCTAGATGGTCGACATCAACTGAAGCGCTTCGTTAGGAGAGGGCATAAAATGCTTCGTTTTAAGATACAGTTAAAAATACAGCAATGAGCCAAAAAGCAGCTAACTCCTAGAGAAACGGATGATCTAGAGAGTATTTTTTCCTACGGTACTGGGCGAGGATGTATTGTAATTGCAAAAATGAATGACTATGCTTTTTTGAAGTACACCACGAAAAATCATGTAATTCATTTCCGTCGGTCTGTCTGTCTGATAATCTTTAGCCCGTCTAACTTGAGAAGTACCGCTCTGGTTTTGATGAAATGAACATAAGGTTACTAGTATGTCAAGAATGAAAAGGTTTGTAGTTTTTGATAATCAGTCCAGTGGCGGCAGAGAAAAAAGTCAAAAACGAAAAAAATTAAAATTGCTCATACTTTGGCGTTCCAGTGAGTCTTGAACATTTTTGTATTGGTTGAATTCGGGAGTTGGAGGGGGTGGGGAAGGTATATGGATATTTTTATATGTATACAGTCTCGGTAAGCATATGCGTCTATTAGTCATATTTCACGCATTTCCCCGTACATTTGCCTTTAACACAGAATGCTAGAGAGATGTCTTCAATCCGCGTACTTCTGCTATCTAAGCTCACCGCCTGGCTGACTAATCGATCCGTACAGCAGCGCAGAAAATATATAAACGGATTGCGCACGAAATGAGCGTTGGTGCCCAGTATCTGCAATTTTGCTTGTTCACATAAGTGAAAATGGGCCTCTTCACTGAAAACAACGTTCTCGAGTCTGCGCTGCGTAGGAAGAAGTCAACATCCGTTCAGCACAAGATTTGCGTAATACGTGATCACTTTCCTTTACACCATGGGCTGGTTGGATTTTATAAGGATGAAAACCCATTGGTTCTTCATTATCCCATGCAGTGTTGACCTTGAGAGTCCCAAAGCAGCGGAATGCTTCTGTACAGAACGCCGAGGATTTGCAATGGCCTAATCACTTACTCGACGCACATTTTCTTCGGTTGATACAGAAGGTGTGGGGCCAGGAATGGGTTGACTAAGAGAAAAGCCTGTTTAACGGAACCTCTTAATCCACTTTTTCAATAGGTTCTAACTTGGGGCATCTCTTGGTTGGCGAATGTTGTATCGTGTACAAAATTTCCGAAGGGCAGCTGCATATGAATCACCACTCTTAAAGTAAGACTCGATAGCAAGAGCACGTTGCGCTCCGGTCCAACGTGCCATTGTGACTACGAGTATGTAACCCGCACGCCGAACGTGTCGATCAAAAAATCTCCCCGCTTCCTCGCGTATACGGTTGCCGTGTAATTCAAATTTGAAATGTGAACTTTCCCACTGGACACACTGTATATACGTATATTGGATTACATTTAGATTGTTTCGTACCTCTATAGTTCATAAATAATATATCTATTTATTTACGGAATAGCACAATCAAGCTACGTTCTCACGGCGCAAGAAGACGACAGCGTGGCACGATTGCTTTCGTGGCTCTTCGCTGGAGCGGCGTGTGAAAATTAGACCATCGAGGGTTGTGATTCGCGAACTGTTCACACGATCACTACTGAGCTTAGTCCTTGAAACCGACCATGGAGGAACTTTTGATTCTTCAGTTTTGAAATGTATTGCTATGTTAGCGAAAATACTAAGAGAGTCACATGAAGGCGATCTGGTGATAACAATTCGCATCGCTTCTGATTTGTGTGTCCACTCCCGAAAATCAAACGGGTTTCTGATACCGAGCGTGCGTGGTCGTGGACTTGTCCATGCGCCAATAAGCCAATTCCACGTCTCCAGGGATCAAGCTACCGCGCCACCCTCCGAGAGAACATAGCATTATAATACCCTCGTTCCAATTTTACAAATATTTTGTTTTTGCATTTCATTTTTGTGTCTAACATAAGAGTTGGAATGAGGCTATCGTCATGCTCTTATCTGTTATTATTTCTATAAATTACTGATTAATGATGTGTCTGCTAAGCTTATCGATGCAACGTCCGGGCTCGTCCTTCGAAGGAATAATTATTAATATGAAGGTACGTTCTCCACATTTAGCAAAACAAATATCTCACTTATATAGACTCAGAAAGTTATTATGCTATTATAAAACATACAGAATAACGACTGCGAATTAGGCGTTTTTCATATTGTGGAATCGTATAATTTTCGTAGCCCAAATTTGTTGTTGTCCTATACAGGGTTATCCAAATTAAGTGTCCACCATTAGTAAATTTGTTATTAGTGAAAATACAAAGTTGTTTGAATTAGCAAACTAGTAGCATTTTTAACGCTGGTAAAAATGAGAAATAAAAAAAAACAATTGAGAGTCGTTATTTTGATTTTTTTCAGTAAAATAACATTTTTTTAAATGGAAACCCCTGTATATTATATTTTTTTCTGTTAAAGCATCAAATTTTAAACAAAAAAGCTTTCAATAACTTTTCTCCTAGGTTACAAATTGTTGAAGTTATGGCCTCCAATCTGAAACAATTAAATTGTATCGACAAACTTTATTTTCAACATCAACTTATAATCTTACAAAATACAATAATAATTTTTTTTAAAGAAGATGCTCGAAAACACCACCTTGTTCTTCAATACATTTTTGGGCACGTTTTTCAACTGCTCGAACTGTCTTAAGTATGGTCCTACCATCTATCTGGGTTATCTTTTCCCTAACTGCAGTCTTTAACGCGTCAAGGTTATCGTACCTTCGCTTGTAAATTTGGTTCTTTAACTAACCCCACAAGAAGTAATCAAGTGGGTTTAGATCTGGTGATCTGGGAGGCCACTGTATTGGGCCATTTGTTCCTATCCACTGATCATTAAAAGTAGTACTTAGAAAATGATAAGTACCTCTGGAGTTGTGGGCAGGTGCGCCATCTTGCTGAAAATGCAGACGATGTCTACTTATAAGATCCAATTCGTCTAAGAAATTAGTCAGAATTTCTGACATAAATTCCACATATCTTTCACCAGTTAGGGTTCCCTCATAAAAGAACGGGCCAACAATTTTTGAACCGATTATACCGCACCAAACGTTGAAACTGAAACGGACTTGTGGGCCTCTTGGATGTACTAACAAAAGATTTTCTTTTGACCAATAATGGTGGTTTTTTCTATTAAACATTCCAGAATTTGAAAAATTTGATTCATCTGTCCATAAAAGGTAACGAAAGTTATTTACATTTTGGCGACAGAAGCTAAGATACCAATGGCAAAAAACAAGTCTTCTCTCTGGATCCCCTGCCAAAAGCGTTTGAACTGGTCGGTACTTATACGGAATAAATTTGTATTTTTTTAAAATCCTTTGAACAGTACCATAACTGAAATTAGAGTCCTTGAGAATATCTGCTATTGAATTCTCACGATAAGCTTCAAAATATCCAATAACTGCAATTTCCGTGGCCTCGCTTATTATGAATTCTTTTTTTGCCCTTGTTTTAGCAAAAACATTTTCGTTGCCCCTAAATTTTCGATAAAGTCTCAGAAAATATCGTTCATACGGTTGAATGCGAGCGGGATATAATTCACTGTATTATTTATTCTCTTGCTCTCAAGGAGGATTTTCTGTACACTAAATAGCATTCTAACATATCACACTTTTCTTCATGGGATAACATTTTTCTTTAAATTAATGACACAATAAAGCTTATAAACAAGTATTTACACTAATGTTTGACATTATTTGATTTTATCATTGTTTTCCAAAGCCTTCTAGTTGCGAGTATGTCCAGTTTAACAATTTGTCGCTTATCTTAATGCTGTCAAATCGCGAACGCCATGTTGTTTTCATAGCCGTCTTAATATTATAATACTGCAAATAATTAAAAATATTTATCGTTATTTTGACTTTATTTTTGACTTTAGCGGAAAAGTCATTATGAACTTTTTTGTTTAAAATTTGATGCTTTAACAGAAAAAAATATAATATACAGGGATTTCCATTTAAAAAAATGTTATTTTACTGAAAAAAATCAAAATAACGACTCTCAATTGTTTTTTTTTTATTTCTCATTTTTACCAGCGTTAAAAATGCTACTAGTTTGCTAATTCAAACAACTTTGTATTTTCACTAATAACAAAGTTACTAATGGTGGACACTTAATTTGGATAACCCTGTATACAGATTAAGATATATTTTTTATGTTGTAAATATTATGAAGGCCTAACACCAATATTCATATTTTTGGAACAAATTTCTATTAATATCAGTTGATAATCGTTTAATCAATTAATAACACCGCTATCACGATGTCACTAATAAATATTGTTGAAATAGGAAAATTTTAGTACTATTATATAAGCTATTTTTAATATCTTAGGTATTGAATTTTCAAAAAGTACAGTTACAGTAAATTATATGTTCTGTTCGAACTCGTTTATATCACTAATATGGTTCCAAATTTTAGACTCTGTGTGGTGAATGAATCAATTTTAGTAAAACACCATTCCTGCTTTTCTACTTACTTTACATATTTTTAACAATAAATGACTAATCCAAAACGCAATACTTGTATTTTTTCACCGGCATTTATTTTCGATAAATATTATATTGGAATTGTATGTGCATTTACTCCCCTTAGGCTCTCATAGCGACACCTCTGCATAATAATAGGCCCAGAAATTCGGTGATGTCAAAACCTGAAGCTGCAAAAAAGGTTTGAAATCCAATATAGACGTGACTTAGGGTCAGTAAGCCACCGAAATACTCTTTTTCATTGTTTTACGTGATTACTTCAGTCATAGTCGTGATACAGTTGGCCCGCTGA